CCAAACATAATGCCAACTATTGGGGAAAGCAATGCATTTTGAAGTGGGTTGAGATAGAAATATCAAGCCAAACATCTGAGATAACTCGGGGTTCACTTTAGAGGTGTTATCAGCATGTTCGTTGATTTCCTCATGTTTTTTTCTAAAATTAAATTTATTGGGGCGACACTGGTTAATAAGATCACACAGGTTTCAGGTGTATATATTGCACCCCGTTTACCCTCTCCCATCCTTCCTCAACCCCCTTGAGGTAAGATGATTGAAAAAGAAAACACACATGCTTAATTACTTTATTTTAGCTTTTGAAGTGTTTTCTGATACGTTTTTTGTTAAATACATGATTTTTATGATAATATGAACCATAGGATCATTTTTGGCCTAGCCTAGGAAAGTAATAACAACTATAAGCTTTTATCTTTGGGAAATTATTTCCAGAGATCTAAATATTAGCCTTTACAAATAAGCTTTTGAGATATAGTCAGTCTGCAAGTTAAGGGCTTTCTCTGGGTGGTCTTAGTTATTAAGAGGACTGGCGCACTGACTCTTGGCCTGTTGCAGTGGCTCTGCCATCTCCAGCCCCACCACGACGAATGAAGTTACTGTCCTTTGCCTTCTGAGTGTGATCAGATTCAGTCCTTGGTTTAAAAGGACAGGCTCTTCTCTCCACCCCCCCCATTTTTCTTTCTTAATCTGAAAGTTTTCATGCAATAAAACTCATACTATAACCGGCAGTGAGCAGCAGAACTCAGCACGAGGAGTTTTTAGCATGAAACCATGACGTTTGAGAGGATGATATTCTGGAGGGAGTCTGTTTTTGTGTTTTATATGGAGCCTACCTTCTGACGTTGAGTGGTAGATGGTATACAGAGCTGTGTTTACCTGTACAGGGCTGTGTTTACCTGTGTTTACCTGTACAGGGCTGTGTTTACCTGTGTTTACCTGTGCAGGGCTGTGTTTACCTGTGTTTACCTGTACAGGGCTGTGTTTACCTGTGTTTACCTGTACAGGGCTGTGTTTACCTGTGTTTACCTGTACAGGGCTGTGTTTACCTGTGCATTGTAACACAACAGCCTTAGATTCAGCTTCTGTGAGACCAGGGACTCAGGTTTTCTTGGGACCCAGCATTTCTTCTTGTTCCCTCTAAAGGGTCCCTTCAGACTCTGTGCTGAGAACATAGGCTCCTTGTGTCTCTGGTTTGCTTAGGAAAGGGCTGGGCTGGTTCAGGGCGATGCATCCAGCTCAGCAGTGTCTGTGTTGAACACGAGCTCTCTCCAGCCAGGAAAAGCCCAGTGTTACTGAGATATCCCCGGCAAGCCGGTGCATTGGTCCTGGCAGTAGCTGTCAGTTCCAGGCTGATTATGCAAATCCTGGTTCCCATCGACTTAGAAGGGACACATCCGTGGCTAATGTCTGCAGTTCTCCTACATGGCCCATCAGAGAGCTCCCGCCGGCTTCCCTCTAACCATACCCATGAGAGAGGTGGAGAGAGTATTTATTCTAATTCTCCAATACATAGGATAAAGTCCACTGTACATCGAGTCTCAATACAGAAAGAGGTATCACACGAGAGTATATCAGAGCCAACGTCACCTCAACCAAAACCCATCATTTCCAGACCTTGTTTTTTTTTTTTTTAATTTTATTTTATTGTTGACAGTATTACAGATGTCCCCCAACTCCCCCCACCATTACCCTACTCCTCCCAGCCCCTCCCCACCCCAGGCCTTCAGTACACTATTGTCTGTGTCCATTAACTATATCTATCATCTATCTATCATCTATCTATCTATCTATCTATCTATCTATCTATCTATCTATCTATCATCTATCTATCATCTATCATCTATCTATCTATCATC